ATTTCGACCACTCCTGCGCCAGTGATCAGTGTTTGGACGAGCGGTCAGTGTTTTCAATGAGCGAGCGAGCCCCCCCCCCCCCCAAAAAAAAAACTCGATTAAAATGCGGTCGGTTTCCGGTCGGACAAGACCGCATGGTCGGAAATTAAGTGTTAAGCGTTCGATGTAAAAGCGGAAGGTTGGGCGAAATGGGTACTGTATGACCATGTTTCTCCGACGAAGTCTCGACTGACAATAATGCTGACAATGAACGTTAGATAAACACGCATTGTTTGCGACTGGAAGCTTATCACCCGTTATATCAGAATCGTCAACAACAGAGTATACAGATAAGATGTTATCATTTAAACCCTTCCAAAGATAAACAACATGCAAATATCCACGAAACGGCAGTTGTAGTCTTTTCTGCTAGTGTTTTAAAACACTGATTTGAGCGACATTATTTCGCAATTTCGATCTTTTGTAAACCTGGGATGATGTATCAAGGTCGTTTTATCAACTTTTGAAAAATCAAGAAAAAAGTGAAAATTTCCCTTCTCGCTACCTTAATTGAATTCTGGGGAAATGTAACTCATCATGTGGAAGTGTAACACATTTGAGGCATCCTGTGGAAATGCATCTCTTAAAACTTGACGCATTTATAACCAATATTCTTTATTTTGTTGCAGGTAAAGAACTGCCCAAGTCTGAAAATATTACCATTCCAGCAATTAACCAAAATATGAAACAAAATACAGAAAATACCCACGAGTTAGGTACTCTCATGCAACAAGATAACAGTACACCTCAGCTAGGGGGTGAAAAGACCCCTCAGCAAGATAACAAAATACCCAGTAGGATATCAAGAAGAAAGGGAAAAGTGCCACCCAGAAAGAAACTTAAAACTGATATTCCTGAAGAATCCTCAGATGATGATTCTGAATGTGGCAGATTAGCTATCCATTTAAAGGAAGATATGAACCACAAAGAAAGCACAATAATAAAACAGGAGCCAATGATTCAAGACGAAAGATGTTATGGTATAATGCCAACATCCTCACTAACCAATGGACCAAATTATCGCTCTGTGCAATCAGAGAAAACTTACACCAATGAATTGCCAGACAAGGAATACTCAGTGGAAACCAATCAACCTCAGACTACCAGATTACAGACAACTTATCCATTACAGAATGGTCTAATAACTCCTAACCTTGTACCAGTGAATCCCGCTATCTTACAAGATGGCCGACAGGTTTTGATCGCTGCTCTGCCTGGTAACGTGTCTGGTATAGCTGCAGCTGGATCTATTCCGTATATTTCGTCAGTGCCTCAGGTAGAAGGAGGAAACCCGCTAAACCTGATTGCAGCAACTGCAGCACTGGCATCCAGAGTTCATGTTGTTGATTCTCCGCAGAGTGCCGATGACAGCATATCAAATGAAGATATAGGTAAGTTGTGTAGTAAATGTGTATTCTCACGGTGTTGCTGTTGAACAGGGTTATATTGATGGTTTAAAATGTGAGTGGGGTTCTATTTTCATATTTCAGCCAATAATATATTTTGTAACAATGCATATTTGACACAAATTCAATTTGGTACTTCAAAATGATAAAACAAAGTATAAATCAGTTTTTTTTGTATGTTGAGAAAAAATGGTAAATCAGACGAATGTTAATGATTCCTTAATTCTCAGTAACAAAGATCTCCAATCATTGTGATTTTCAACCATCAATTTATGATCAGTTATATTCACTCAAGTAAATTTTGTCTATTATACAACAAATGTATTGCAATGTTTTTTTCAGAGAATGCCCTTTACAGTGATGTCCCTCATGAATTGTGTCCATTTACAAATCTTGATTTCATTTTGAAGTCAACCAAATCAACATGTCTGTGACTTTCTCAATTTTGTAAAGAATGAAACTATTGTAAAATTCCTAATTGAGACCGCGGCTTTAATTAAAATTCATTTTTTTTAATGGATGAATTCAGATGCGTGAAGTCTTGGTGCGGCTTTAATTTACAGCATTCACTTCGGTAACAGTGGGAACTTGTTTCAGAAAACAAAGGCCTGAAAGGATAATGATATGCTAATGAGATGCACGACACCCGATTGCAACTTTGTTGCAATTCTAAGCAAACTTTCAGATTTTCACACACAGACAAACACAAACAAAAATTTATACTGTACAACATACTACACAATAAATAATATCTGCAAATAGATTTGTACGCATTTGCAGATTACTGCACAATCTCGTGAATAGACGTTACTCTAATTCATTAGTACGGGTATCTTCCATGCTCTAATTTAGATATTGGGGAAGAGTTCAAATCCTACGTAACAAAATATTGAAAAATTACAGTCAATAAAAAAAAACTGTTCACATGATAACAAAAAAATACTCAGTATATTTAATGTACCGTAAAAACTCCAAAATTTCGACCGATTTTTAAATAATTTGTGTTAGAAATGTGATGTGTTTTTAGAGTCAAAATTAAGGTGCATTTTTGGACGGTCGAATTTTTCAGAATAGAAATCAGCAAATGAAAAAATGGGGATGATAGACAGTGTGCTTCGTTAGTTTTTAAAAAAATGCAATGTCCGTCAATTGACGTAAACTTCCCCATGTTTCACGGTAAAAGCAAAGGTCGTGGCCGAGTTGTACGCCAAACAACTCAAAATCAAAACAAAGTCATCAATCAGTGAGTATTATGACAAGGAAAACAAAACATCAAGACGCGGAGGAGAGGTCAGCACAAAATTAGGTCAAAAGACAAAGCTGTCTCGCACTACCTAGGAAAACTTGCGAATGTTCGAAGTACAGGTACCCATTGGACAAAAGATACATGGAAGTTTAGCAAACTATCTCCCCGACCCAGTGCAATGTATCCGGTTAGAATCAAAGCTCACGTGTCC